TTTATTTAGTGTAATTACAAGCAATCACTACAAATTCAAACACTAAGGGCTCTATTTTGATGATTTAATGCAAAGCATAAAGTGCAAAGAAGAGCTAACACTTATGGACATGTCCAAATCCAATCCACTATATTGACGGCGAAAAAAACAAACTTGGCTCCAGCGCAAGATGCATTAACCCTCTTAATTATTCAGAGGCATGTTTTGCATATAACATGCAATGAACCATTTGGAATGGTGTGTCACTTCACCTTTACAAGGCAGTGGTGCATGATCTTCGGCAGATTGCTATTACAATAGCGTGTTGCCTGGCAAACCAGATCGCTTTTCATCCGAGGAAACAGATGTGTGAGATGAAAATGCGTGAGCGCGTCATCAAACGGGAGCACCACTGTTGCACCTAAGCCTTCTGAAGTAGGTGTGGGATGAGGTAACAGTGAGTGTGTCCTTGTTTTCTGGCATCACCAGATCATCCACTCAGTGCCGAAAGCGGTATAATCATGTCAGAAAACCAGGATACCAGAAGCTCGCTGTCAAAAGAGAGCAGTGACTGGGAACAGGGACTTAAGTATATTTGTGTGTTTTTTTATTTTAATTTTGGGTCTGCAGTGCAATCTTTGTTCAAACAAAATGCAACCTACAGTTTTAAAATGTTCAGATAAAATGCAATAAGGCTGTTATTTTTCTACATCACAATTTGATTCCTTACCAGGCTATAGACGATCTAGCTCTTCTGCCATCTGATTCCTCCTTGCCCGTGCTGCTGCCAGCGTACACTCCTTTGTTGGCATTGGCACATGCAGTTCAGCATCACACCATCTAAAGTCCTCTAATGTGTCCTCATTTATGTCCAACAGACATCCATCATGCATGGCAATGTTATCCAACATACAACATGCCACAAAGAATGCTGCGATCTTCTGAGGGCTGTATTGTAAAGTTACACCTGATTTATCTAAATGTCTGACACGCATTTTCAGAAATCCAAATGTCCTTTCAGTTACAGTAAGTGTTTAATTCTGATAATGAGCTCAAAAGATTTTTTGAATTATACATTATGTTCTTTACTTGATATATGTTTTTTCTTTTGGTGTTTCATTAAACAGTATGATTAAGTAAAAGGGCTTGATGTACTCTATAATAAAACGTATATCAGGGGTCATCAACTACGACAGACAGTCTCCTTGGGGGCCGGACCTCCAAGAAGAAAATCAAATAAAAATCAAATTTTGGCTTAACATTATGTTTAATGTTTATACTTTTTCCATTTCATTACAAAACTGAAGGCATTTGATTCAGGCTCCCATACCTATACCACAGACAACCACTAGGAGTGATAGATATTTTGCCTCAACTCAATTAGGCTAAGTCAACTTTATTTACAGTATAGAGCACTTGAAAAACAAACACGGAGGAAGTGACAGGAAAGGGTCTCTTAACAGAGGTAAAATGGCACTATCAAAGACCATGAAACGCAAAGTTGCTAGTTTCAAGCATGTTGTTGAGACTTAGAAATAAAAAAACCAAATGTTAAGTAAGGGCATGAGGAAAAGTTATGCGTTCGTTTTTTTTCAAAAAACCTGTTTGAAACAATAAATGCTTAACGCT